TCTGACAAGCCGTTGGTCACGTGAAAGTCCCACCACGACTGGTGTCAATCCGGTGGGGATTTGGGCAACAAAAGTCCTCGACATTCCCCGAAACCGGCAGTTCGTATCCAGAACTCAACACCGAACAGACGTCCACCGCCAGCAAGAACTCTCCACCGAAGCCAGCCCAGAATAACCAGTGAACCTAGTAAGAATTATTTTCCTTATTATTATCCGTTCCAACCGGGTACAAGTCCGAAAAGATTTGTACACTTTAAGTGTGGAATTACTGTGGGCCCGAGAAGAATATTCTTGGTAACCCACACACAAATTCCACCGTCCGTCTCAACCCGCACGACAGTGCAATCGTTGGATTCGGCGTGTTAAACCCAATCCTGACGAAGCCGTCGTGTTTACTACAGCGTTGCTTGGTGTCCCGCACCTTGATGTACGCTGGGTAATAGGGGATATGTGAACCAAGACCTAGAGGTTCGGCGTGCCCACCCAATCTCCGGGTCGTTCCATATAGTATCCGTACGCTTCTCCCTGGTCGGCGTGTATACCCATCAGACCGAGAAGCGTTGTATACAGAGAGTCCGACACCATCGGCCACCAGGACGTATAAAGCTTAAAGGCTAGTACGAATTGTAAGGCGAGATACTTCGGATCCCGTTTCACCATCCTTTCTTTCCGCCTTGCACCGCTTGGGCTTTCTTCGCTGGTTATTGCTATCGCTTACCGCTTACCGCATTCCGCTTACTAATTTTGCATTGCTTGCTAGGCCATTATACCGATATTTGACCGCCCGCCTGTTTAAAATAAGTCCGAAATAATTCCGAATAAATTTTGGTTTATTTTCAGAATCAGCGGGGACCAGTAAAAAACGTCTATAAATATTTTAATCAGACCGTCTAAAATCACCTTTTCCTTTGTACATAAAAACCGTCTACGATTGTAGAGTAATAAATATTTTATTTCGATCCCGTTTGCAAATATTTATTTATTTTCTAAGGTGATAAGTAAAATTGTAAAAAACCTAGAACCACAACTTTTTAATTTTGTCTCTTTCACACTGATTTTATATATAATTATTGTTAATAAACTTGTAAATAATTTCAGTCGTTTAGTGAAACCTGGTGCAACAGGTGGAAAGTCAAAATTAATCCCAACAAAAGTTCGGCTATCCTTTTTACCAAACGAAAAATCCCACAAAACCTCGACAGACTGACACTATCCCAGGAACCTATCTCCTGGAATCGACAAACACGATACCTGGGCGTGACGATGGACCAGCGTCTCACGTGGAAACCGCACATCGTGGAGACGGTGGCGCGAGCGAAGACCACCAGGGCTAGGCTCTATCCCTTACTCAAAGGTGGAAACACCCTCAGTTTAAGGAATAAGCGAACGCTTATCAAGGTGGTACTTCAACCGCAGCTAACCTACGCCTCCACGGCGTGGGGTCACGCGGCAAAAAGCCACTTAAAGTCATTACAGGCTGTGGAAAACATAGCCCTCCGCACGGCCACCGACGCGCCCTGGTACGTAAGAAACACTGACATATTACGAGACTTACAATACACAAACGCTACACAGACAATAAGACAAAACGCGGAGAAACGATTTGACGTAGCCGCTAGACATGACAATCCCCTCCTCAGGCAAGCCGTTGACTACGTACCCGACGTGACCGACAAACACAAAAGACCTAGACACCAACTTTTTGACCCTGGGTGACCACCCCAATGACCCCCCCCCTGCCCGCTAACCTTTTCTGTTTCAGAGACAGCCAGGATCAAGAAACGAAGACAACGACACACACACACACACACACACACCCCCAATACCCTCCTTAACCCTCCCCTCCCGCGCTAGCCTAAGGGCCACCTTAGCAAAGCGCATCCCAGGCTGCATAGCCGCACTACCCTACCCAACCATACCACACATAAACATGACACTACCCCCGGGGTTTACACAGACGAGCCGGCGAAGCAAGAAGAGCGCCAGAAGAAAGGGCCCTAGCCGGCGGGGCCCAGCCAGGACAAAAGGAGGTCCCACAAAGCGCCTACACCGGCCGCATTTGCGGTCGGGGTAGACGACGGATGGGGCCCACCTACGAAGGCTGTCCAGGCCTACACGAGATGAGGCAGGATAAAGAGGGATAATCCCCCTCGATCCCAAATCATTGAGGCCAATTTCTAGCCATGGAATAATGGCAGTGGCAGTCGTTTAGTAGTGGGTAGGAGTAAAAATTGACACTATATGTATTTGTAATAAGTATTAATATTTTCCCTGTGTGAATAAATCTAGTAAAACTTAATAGGTTTATTTCTTTCACCGTCGAGGTAAAACCATAACATCCCGAAACAGCAAAAACGCTGATATCGTTTTGTAGAGCTCTCGTTAAATTTCATATCTAAAATAAAACTACACTGAGAAAACTACTCTCTGCCGTACTATTTGCCGTTTTCTCCTAAAAGAAATTCATTTGACCCCTGGAATTTATTTTCTTCACTGTAGCTACCTGTGCACTTTACTCTAAACTGAGGGTAAGGGATACGTGGAGTTTCCCCACGTCAAATTTAGGGAAACTGGCGCCCGAGATTAAAACCGACTATATAAGTTATTAACTAACGTCATGGTTTAGAGTCCAGTCCGAGGAATAAAAGACCTTTCCGAAAAATTAAATTACAAGGGGTGTACACACCATAGATAAAAGTAATAAAATTTACACCGAACGATCCATAGAGAGAGAACCGAGGAAAAGTGCGTCACACCATGGTACATCGGCCGTTATGTGAGAGCGATAAAATAAGTCATAGAAATACGTGCGATAGACAAGGATGGTTACATTGAAGACGTTTCATAATCTGAATAGTTCTAACCTGAAACGGGTGGTGACTATTCAGATTATGGAACGTCTTCACTATAGCCATCCCTGTCTATCGAACGGATTTCTTTACTTTGTCGCTCTCATGTAAAGGCAGATGGACCATGTGGATTTTCCAGCCCTGTATAAGTAACATCCAAAACGTTTCTAGATAACCAACAGTATTTAACGATTGACGATAATATGAACACCCAAGAAGAAATGCCAATTGTTAGTGCATTATCAAAAACAAAACTAAATGAAAATACTAATAAATTTATGATTGAAAAAGAAAAATTTAAACACGAGTTATTACAACTTATCGACAGTCTTACGTCTTCCGAAGAGTTGGATATAGCAAAAAAACAGTAGCCCCTCTCTTACCTACCTTAACGGCTTTCAGGAATTTTAGCAGTGAGGAAGTGTGCAAAAAATTGGAGATAAGTATACCTCATAATAAAAATATATCCCAACAGAGAAGACTTTTTAAGACGAAGAAAACAGGCAACAGAAAAAAAGATCGGTTATCGAAGCCAGATAATATTGAGGCAAATAATATTGCCTTAAATATGCTTATTTAAAAAATAAATATATTTTATTTTTACAAGTGTTTTTTTTTGCCTAACAGGTTTTAACAATGGGTGGTATTAATAAAAACAGAGTACATGCTCCTAGCAGGTGCTCAACAAAAAGCGGAGTATATGCTAAAAACTTGAGCACATACTGAATTTTCATATTAATAAAATTTAGAAGGGAAATAGAGCACCTGCTTACGCTTTTTAAGTACCTACTCCGATAAACTCACAGCAGCAGACGTCATATGCGAGTTCCGACAGGTTGAATATTAGAAAGTTATAGAGCGGCCGTGTTGCTATAGTGGATGTAAGTCTCTACATATATTAAATAAGAACTATGGATACTGAAGAAGACACAGTTAGTAGTGGGGAAACATGTGAGAAAATGATACAATTTGTTAGTGTTATTGAAAAATTTCCTATACTTCTGGAAAAATCAAACATACCGGATGTTAAAAGGAAAAAAGCGAATGCAATTTATGAAATAAAAGGTAAACTAGCAGTTGAATTTGGAATAGAGTTGAACGACACGCAAATATGGAAGAAACTAAATAATCTCAAGACTAGAATAAAAAGGAAGACTGACAAAAAACAAACAGGAAATCGGAAGATTGAATTAAAAGATTGGGAAATAAGATTCTTTAAATATATAGAAGGGGAGATAAATCCTTCAATTTGTAAAGTAAAAGGTAAGTCTAGTATACGTACTTAAAATTTGTAGCAGCTTCTTTAATTTTGTATAGGGTGATTACTTTTTAATAGAAGGACTTAATAGAAAATGTTAATACTTACCAGTTAAAAATTTCACACAACTACGAGTGTTAATTTGTTAAAGTTGCGGTATTAAATAATAGACTGCCCCCTACAAAAATACTTTCTTAAGTCTTGTACAAACGTCCACGTTTTTTTAATTTTTAAATAAAAAAATAAAAGTAAGTAACTAAAAACAAATCTTTTCAGGGGCAATTTCTGCTGGTGTACGTTCATGTGGAATGGAGGTCGCTGAAATCAGTCTTGAACAGAATGAAATTCAGCTAAAAGAACCTGGGTCCTTTATAACATCCGGTACTGGATCTGTTAAGAGTGCAGATTCCGACTATCCTGTGCCTGGAACTTCGAAGACCTCTTCTGTGATGAGTAAAGGTGTAAATGAGGGGCCACTAAAGAACCAAAAACATAAGAAAAAATTACCAGAAACTGAAGAAACCAAAAACCTTACTACGCAAGAACTTCAACGTTTAGTTCTTTTGGAACAGTTGCAAGTCTTTAGGCTTGCAAAGGAACTGCTATTACAGAAAAAACAGCAAAAGGATATGGAACAGGTCAACCCTAATACTCAAGGAGATGCGACTGATGCAATACTGCTTAACATTCCGGACAATGAAAACATCGATGAAAACTTCCCTATTTTTATAAATTTATAGAACTGATATTAAATACTCATTAATTTAACTGGGTTTTTTATTTAACTGAAATATAGTAAGTACTATGCTACAGTTTATGAATGAAGAACATTCTATACTTGATAAAAAGATATATGTAATACAGTCTAAATGCAAACAGCATCTTACTTAGTATTAACCGTGAATTATTCTTGCTATTGCATCTCTTCTCAGTTGTCCTCTCTGACGCACAACTGCCTCACCATAATCTACATTGATCTGTAAATCATCACCATTATTGTTGGCATCTTCAAAAATTTCAAAATCTTCATCGTTGAGGTGTTTTGCAATATTATGCAAAATAAAGCAGCTTAATACAAGAGACGGAACTTTTCCTGTATTTACTCGAATTTTGTTTTGCAATATAGGAAAGCGCTGTTTAACTTGGCCAAAACACCTTTCTATTATAACACGTTCTCGAGTAAAACATCTATTATATGTAATTTGCTCAGGAGTGACAGGGTCTCTGTATGGAGTCATAAGCCACGGGGTAAGTCCATAACCTGAATCTCCAAGAAGAAGTGCACTAGCTGTATTCCACCGCATGATATTAAAAATGGCAGAATTTCTCCATATGCGTGAGTCATGAACGGCTCCTGGCCAAGACGCATCGACACTTGTAAACTCCTCTCGGACGTTGCACGTTGCCTGAACGTTTAGACTGCAGAACCCCTTTCTGTTGACATACTCATCTCCGTGTACAGCCGGTTTAATGATAGGAATGTGAGTGCAGTCTATCGCACCGATAGCAGAAGGAAAATTATACTTTTCTTGCCATTTATGTTTCTCTTGCTCTAACGCTTCAGTAGTTGACGGAAACTGTATCCATATATTTGATTTTCGTATTATAGCATCTATTACTGATGAAACTGTTAATGATACCGTTGATTGGTGCACCCCAATGTCCTCACCTACGCCACTTTGAAATCCCGGGTCGCCGACATAACGAAGAAAAATTCTCATCTTCTCAGTGGTCGTTAGAGCACCACCTCTGTTTTCAAACTCATCTCCCAGGAAATGTTGAGCAAGCCATTCTACGTTATTTCTGTTAAATCGATACAAAATTCGATAGTCGGTATCCCGAGAGTCTCTTCGAACCTTATAATACTTTCTTGCACGAGCAATAGGCATAAATTCGGCCATTATTTCCGAAAGCACAGTTATTACTGATGCTGAGCTTCCTACCAAGGTACCTTAAATTATTGTGAGTAGTTGCTTCATTTGTGTAGCATATACTTACTTTTATTCATACCGAAACTTAAGTAGGCACTCAGTGTTAAGTAGATACTTACAAAACTAGCAGGTGCTCCATTGCTAAGCATCTCCTCTACGATTTTATTAATACCAAATGAAGAACCCACTCCAAAATTTGAAGTAAAAAGTATGTGCTTAATTTTATTAATACCACCTAATGAATAACAAAAACTCAGAATTATGTTTAAGATCATTGGTAATCTACAATCTACATTAACTATCAACAAAATAATTTAACCATACAGTATTAACAGTTACTCTCTTGAACAAGCGTATGAATTTAGTAAAAATATTTTTTCTGACATCTGGCATTCTGGCGTTCAATAAAACATTATTTTTTAATTCCATACAGCCAATATAATGTAAATCTTAGATAGGTACCTTTTATGTGTTCAACTGCCTAAGAGAAATTAAAAATATAATCCAACATATTATTTCCCTAAACCTACATGATATACCTAATATCAATATTTTAAATACGCCCGGGAAACAAAACGAGTTTGACGGTTGGAGCATGCGCATGAAACAGAGAGAACCAAGTACCTTTCAATGCAGGGACCCCCGAAATGTCGATTCGATGATTCCGAATCGAGATCGAAATAATTTCGAAACCCCGCCCATTCGAATCGATATAATATCGAGGAGTCTTGGCTAGCCGAAATGATTTGCTCTCTTCTATCACATATATTGACTATTGCTATTTCTTTTCAACATTACAAATATGTGTTTGCGTTTGTGTTTTGTTTATTTTTACGTATTTAACCTATCCCAATGTGAAATACTTGTTATATACAAGGACTTGTATAAAATCCTTGGTTTCTATATATCTACAACTATTTGAACAGCAGTGGATCATGATTTCGGAATCATAACGCGTTACGATCCGAAATCTAGCAATCTGATTGGTTTTCAGTGGATCGTAACACGTTATGATTCCGAAATCATGAGTAAAAGAAAAGGGCTCTTATTCTTTTGGCACTACAAAGCATCGCTTTGTATCTCTCGAGATACATTTGGACGTCTTCAGCAAATCGACAAAGATGATACAACTGTTTCTGAAAACATAGTGCCGTTGAAATGTTTTGACAGAGGACGTAATTAAGGTCAATTCACACATACGGTACTGGGCACCCACTGTGCACCGACTGTGTCGATTTGAACTAATTCTATCACCTGAAGTTTCCATTGAAAATGTATTGAATTGCACTGTTTAATTCACACATGTAGGTCTAGGCACAGACTGTGCTCTGACTGTGTTGCTTCCGACCGCTCTGAAAGCGATTTCTCAAGGTTACGGTCCGACACGGTAGGAGCACGGTACGTGCATAACCGCTCTAGTGAGAACTATTGGAAGGCGACCAGAGGGCGGTCGTCATGTTTCGGCCAGCGCTCGTTCATTTTCGGGTGTCGCGATTTTGCCGCTGGTATCGCGGTATCGCGGTTAGTGTAAATTCATCGATGTGACGAGTAGGCCAAAAAAATGCCTGTTAATGAAGAATTTTTAATAATTTATGTGCAAGAACATGAATGTTTATACGATTTACAAAATAAAGATTATGATAATAATCTAGTTAAAGATAATATATGGAAAGACATCGCAAATAAATTGAATTCAACACCCGAAGAATGTAAAAATAAATGGGCTTTGCTGCGCTCTTACTACAGAAGAGCTCTGAACCGGCGTAAAACAGTGAGTGGTCAAGCTGCAAAAAACATGAAAAAATGGAGGTTTGAAGACCAGATGGAATTTCTTAGAAGACACATGTAGTTATCTATTGTCTCTGGACACATGTAAGAGCGACAGTAAGTATCTAAATTTTACGTAACATTTAAAAGTTGCAAAGTTTTCTTGTCGTTGAAACAATCGGAAATTGGTACATGGCGTGTCACATTAAAAAGCATTAAATTAACGTTATTTACATTATAATTTATAAGTTTTCCTTTGTTAACATATTGTGCTATGCAAACACACACACACACAAACTCACAGACATAAACATTTTGTTATTATTTTTGTTTTATATTCTCGCGCCCATACGGCTATTAGTCCCCAGTCCCTGCTGCTAAAAAAAATGACTACTAACCGTTTGCAAATTTGTATATGTGTTCTTTATGTGAAGTTATGAAATTGGTACATGGCGTGTCACATTAAAAAGCATTAAATTAACGTTATTTACATTATAATTTATAAGTTTTCCTTTGTTAACATATTGTGCTATGCAAACACACACACACACAAACTCACAGACATAAACATTTTGTTATTATTTTTGTTTTATATTCTCGCGCCCATACGGCTATTAGTCCCCAGTCCCTGCTGCTAAAAAAAATGACTACTAACCGTTTGCAAATTTGTATATGTGTTCTTTATGTGAAGTTATGAACTTCTGTAAAAATAAAAATTGTCAGCGGTAGAACCCAATATTACCATTAGTAACCTGTTCCTTTAAAAAAGTTAAATAAAAAATGATGTGAAAGTACTGATTCAATTTCCAGCGGTTTTATTTATATTTTATTTATTATTTAAATAAAATTTAGTATTTAGAATTTAAACATAAATAAAAATCTTTTTGTTACAGAACCTGTTCTAATTTGGATGCGTCAGAGGAAACTGAAGCAGATGATGAAGTTGATGACAATCAGGATACCCCACGACCAGTGGCGGCGCGTGAACATTGATTGAATGTGTTCTGCTTAGGGTTGTCACATTTGTTGAATTCAATTATGGGATAATAAGTGCCCGGAAATCCTATAAATGGCGCCGCAGGCGAAAATTTTTTAAATTTTCAAGGTCACGCGTTTTCCTGGTACTTCTGAATTTCAAGGAACAATCCATTTATACAAAAATACAGACTTTCATAAAAACGATTTTTGAAATTGATACTTTTTTGAAATATATATTAACGAATTACCTACTGACGGTATAAGTAAATAAATTGGAATAAACTAAATATATTTTATTAAATTATTGAATATTGTTTATATACAAAAAAATCGTTGTAAAGTTTACCAACGATTCAACGAATTTTAATTTTCCTCGCCGTGTTATGATTTTTTCTTTATCTTTTTTTATATATATTATANTAAAAAAAAATCGAAAACATTTCTGTTAAGAGTAGTTACAAATCTATTCTTATTTATAACCGATTTTGATGAAACTTATGGTAGTTAAAGATCCTTATGGTATGATTATTACCTACAATTTTCATTCCGTTATCTTAATCAGAAAGAAACTTATCTTAAGAAATATCCAAATGATAACTTTGGAGGGTCATATCTCAGTAACGGTGCTCCAGAGGACCAATGTTTATAGGAACTTTTTTTTACTATTTTTGGCTCTACTTTCACCTCCTTAAATTTTGTAAACTTTTCCATACACCTTGTTTATGACGAGAGGAAGGACGTTGAACATCCCCGTTCCATTGGATGATAACATCGACTTGAACCAAAGCTTCCTCCGAGATTGCTGACGAGATGAGGAAAACGAAAATTTCGGTCCGACTTCCGAAATTTTCGTGGAATGGATTGACCCCAAAAATTACCTCCTGCAAGCTCTTCGGGTCAATATTAACTCTGTTAAATTTGAGCCATTAAACTATAAGCAAACGACCAGGACCGCCAGAAATTCAAACGTCGTCCTATGGAATAGGGTGTCCCTGAATGGGACCTCACAACAGCCTGGCCTGAATAACGGAATCCACCCTACCGAATAAACATTCACCCTTGTCATTTGTGCTTCTTTAGCCAGGGTATAGTACCTGGTCAGAGTGTAACTCGCCTCCAAAAAGAATTCGAAACCGCTGTTATTCTTTATACTAAATAAAAGCCCAGTGGCGGCGCGTGAACATTGATTGAATGTGTTCTGCTTAGGGTTGTCACATTTGTTGAATTCAATTATGGGATAATAATTGCCCGGAAATCCTATAAATGGCGCCGCAGGCGAAAATTTTTTAAATTTTCAAGGTCACGCGTTTTCCTGGCACTTCTGAATTTC